ACTACTGCTACTACCACCACTACTACTGCTACCACTACTACTCACTCACTACTCACTGCCACCACCACTACCACTACCACCACTACCGCCACTACCACCACTACTACTACTACCACTACCACTCACCGCTTCGCCACCACTACCACTACTACCACCACTACTACTGGCGCTCACCACTGCCACTACTACTCACTAATACCACTACCACGCCACCTCAATTACTACCACTACTACTACCACCACTACCACCACCACTACCACTTCACCACTACTCACTACCACTACCACTACCTTCAATTCCACTGGCCAATTACCACTACTGAATACCACCTCACTACTACCACTACCACTACCACCACCACCACTACTACCTCAATCTCTACCGCCACTACCACTACTACTACCGGCTAATTTCACCACTACCTCACTACCACTACCTCAATTACCACTTACTACCACTATCACTACCACTACCGCTACTACCAATCTCTACCGCTACTACTACTACTACTACTTTCGCTACTACTCTACCACCTGTGAAGGTCCGGGTTAGGACCCCTGCCTTCAGTAACCTTACGCTTGGTCGTAATAGGTTACTAACGGATCGGGTGGTCAGGTCGCTTGATCGGTTTGACAATACGTCATCTTGTCCCAGTTGCGGTGATCGATGCTCTTCATGCCGTTGATCACTGGATTGTCCAGGCCAAACTCTCGATCAGGCTATGATCGCAGCCATATAGCTGGGGTAATTGCTGGAGTGCGGCGTAAAACAACAAAACCAACTAAACAACCCACTGATCAGGAAGCGATATGTTGAGCTGTGAAGAGAATGGATTTCTGTGTAAGATACACGCCATATAATCTGAAGAGGGAAGCATCGTGACCACACCTGTCGTAATTTCAAATTCAACACACGCGAAAAAGGTAACACCTATCATAGATAAAATCACGGAGGAGACTACCGACGGACAGTGTCGAAAAAGCAACCAACTGGTAAGTATATGACATTATTTTCCTTAAATTTCATACAAAAATATATTTTGTTTTAACACTGGAGCTGAGTGGAGTGAGTATGGCTTTTAGCGCCGCTTCTTTATCAATATTCCAGCAATATCGCAGCGAGATTTAAATTTCATAGATACAACCTAGTTTTACATGAAAGTTAAGCAGCATTTTAGTTCAATTCTAACCTAACAAAAGGTTCACAACATTTTTAACTCTGGTCTTCGTCGGTTGCCCGCCCGACTGAACGAAAAAATCGACAAGACAAAAACCACAAAAATCAGTGCTGCGCTGGCTAGCGATATAGACAATAGAGGTCGATTATCAATAAAATATCAGAGGCGTAAATGTTCGCGAAAATGGCTAAAATGTCTGAAAGAAATGACTATATTTCACATCCCTTGTGTGCGAGGTCATTTTTTGCATGAACTAATGTCAAAACATCATCCTGAACATAATTTAGAAGCAGGCCATGAACAAAGTCCCAGTCGTCTGGCATTGTGTGAGAAAGCTCTTTGTTTTTCTCCTCTACAAGACTTAATGTACGATATTATTATCGGATAACACAATTTTCATATCGATGATCATCTATAATTTTCCTATTAACGATATTTTCGATTATCGATAATTTTAGCCAGCCCTTGTGTATGCATTGGCCGTGAAAGACAGTGAGTGAATTTAGTTTTACGCCGCTTTTGCAATATTCCAGTAATATTACGGCGGATTTAAATTTACAGGTAACCACGCTCTATATTGAAAGTTACAGAATGTCCAATTCAAACCTTGACAAATCAAAAAAACGCCAACAATTTTCATTTAGGAAATGAAGTTCGCCTCTCCCCAATGTGTTTTGTAATAAAGTATAGTTTTGCCCTGAACTAGTATGATTAAAGCACGAGGACGGTAGTACCCATGGACACACGTGACTACGAGGGGCAGCAGAGGGAACAGCGGGATACCGTCATTCAATTGTTACGTCATTAAAAACTATACCTTTATTGTCTGATAATGTAATTTTAATTTTTTTGATTGTTGTAACCGCTTCTGGCATCTTAGAAATTGTTTTAAGACGGTTGTTTGCCTGAATGACAACAAGACTCAAGCCGTGCTCAAGCCGTCCCAAGAATGATTGAGTGAGTTTAGTTTTACGCTCATTTTTTTGCAATATTCCAGCAATTTCATGGCGGGTAGGCGTGCCAGAGGTCAGGGACCTGAAGAGTTCGATTCTCACATTTAACTTTAGGGACTGCATATTTTTGCAATAGTTGTAAATTTGAATTTCTTTATGTTTTACACACCAAGTTTTACCCGTTATCAGCATTATACCAAGAAATGGGCTTCTCACCTGTGGAACTGAACATAGAACTATACTTCACTTCACAACACTTTAAACACTAGACTACACCTGTATAATACCGCTCAGCACTATACAGACGTCTCCTTACTTACTGATGTATATGAATTACCGACAGCTTTGGTCGGGACATACAACACCACC